GATTAGCGTAGGTGCTTTGCAAAGTGCTTAGGTTGATTAGACCACCGCTTATGCGCTTGCTCTAGGTTTAAGCCTAGTGTTTAGTGAGGTTTGCATACCTCTTACCACTCGGTGCTTGCGCGCACCATTGTTGTACATCGGAGGGGCTTGTAGTCTTGTGAGATCACACCAACCGCGTTTGTGGTGTGTCCGCCACCGTGTACCGGAGGGAACAAGGCCCACGGTGTTTCGACCGGAAGCTTGATAGTGAAGAGGCGGGGAGCATCCGGGAGAGGCTTGCCGGAAGGCACGTCGGAGACCCACTTGCGCATGGGGAAGGTCCGAGGCTATCCACGGAGTTAACCGACCGGGAGTTTGGCTCTTGCGAGGGATTCCTTACGAGGGGCTCCAACAAGGGCTAGGGGGAAGCTTGTGCGCTTCTCGATACCTCGGTAAAAATACCAGAGTCGTCGATGGGAGTTTGCATATCTCTACTTTGCTTTTAAGCTTCCGCATTTACATTGATTGTATTACACCTTTTGCGGTAGAGATAGCAATACACTAGCAAAACCATAGTTGCACATTTAGATAGTTTATCTTTTGCATATGTTTTGCTAAGGTTAGAAAAAGAGGCCATAGTTTAGAGTAAGAATTTTAAGTTGCCTAATTCACCCCCCCCCCCTCTTAGGCGTCACGGTCCCCTTCAGTGTGCAAAGGCACCTGGCTCTTCTAATCTTCATTAACATAGGCGGGTCACTTAAGACGCACGTCTCCATTAATAGTTTAATGGAGGTGGGCTCCGTTAATGATTAACAGAGGTGGCCACCTTAGGATGTTTGCCTCCGTTAATGAAAGACTATAAATACAGCCCAACCACCCCCTTTTTCTTCATGTAAGCTCACCAATCTATTTTGGCGTGGTGAGCAGCTCTGTTTCTCAAAAAAATCTATTTTTCAAGGGGGAGGTTTTGATGTTGGTTTCTTTGAGGGTGGTGGCTGTAGGAGGTTGTGTACCGGTGAAGGTCATCTTGCTTTGATCGTCATGATAGAAGGGAATTTGATGATAACCGGAGTATCCATCAAGGAAACAGAAGAAGGAATGGTGGCCAACTGTTCCAACATCTCATCGATGAAGGGCAGAGAGAAATGATCCATCTTGGTTGCCTTGTTAAGCCTCCTGTAATCTATGCACACATTCTCTATCCTACGACGGTTCATTGTGGGATTTACTCGTTCTTGTCATTTCTAACAATCGTCATACCTCCTTTCTTTGGTACAACATGCACAGGGGCTCACCTACTCGCTATTAGGAATAGGATAGATGATTCTAGCATGCAACAGCTTCAAAACTTCCTTCTTTACTACCTCTCGCATTGCGTTGTTGAGCCTCCTTTGGGGTTCTCTAGAAGGAGTTGAGGCAAGATCTATAGGAATGTGATGGGTGCAAAGAGTAGAACTAGTTCCTTTTAGATCTTGGAGTGAGTAGCCAAGCACAGAATGATCCTTTTCAAGAACAGTGATTAGCTTAAAGGCTTCCGCCTCTGAGAGCTTGTCACTTATGATCAGGGAGTTTGGCAATCATTGTTGAGAAAGGCATACTTGAGACCAGACAGAAGGGACTTTAACTCGATCGGAGGTCAAGGTGTCTCTTTGGATTTGTCAAGATTAAGAGGTTCATCATATTCAGCCCCCTCTTGAACAAAGTGTTGGATGTAGTCCTCAAGATCAGGCTAGGCTGCTTCTTGTAAAGTAATCGTAGGTTGGGCTGCTTCTTGTAAAGTTGTCGTCATTGCCTGATTCATGGGGTCAGCTTCGGGGTAGAAATCATCGATAGAGTTGACTAAACAATGTGAGTGGAATAGTGAACTTGTTTCTCCCAATTTGGGCATCTAGGTGCCCTTTGGTGACTCCATCGGTTAAGAGTTTGGACAGAGGTTGTCCTATTAGGAGATTGGCGGGAGAAATCTTGAAGATATAAAAGTCTAGGAGAGTTTCTACACCTTCAATGGTAGTAGGGACCACTTTTTGAAATCCCATTGCTTCCAATGAAGGTGCTAGATGGGTCTTTTAGGAGTTTATCGGCCGAGATTAATGTTATGTCATGACAATAGAAAGGAGTTTGACATCACATTCACCCCGATCATTGGATCATAGAAAACTTCTACATCATCTCCTCATATTTGGCATGAAATCCGTGTGGACATATTGTCAACCTGAAGGACAATTGCGAAAACCTCGGCCTCCATAGACCACTCATGGCTCATGACGGCTGTGAGTTCCTTCAGATTCTTTTGACAGAACTCCTCATCAGGTGGATCCGAAGGATGATGACGGGTTGTAGAAGGTTTCTATTGAAGAGGGTACTTCGATGTATTTCCAAAGTCGATGAAGAGATCATCCTTGATTTCAAAAGGAAATTCCAAAGGAGGAGTTTCTTCTTCCTTTGGCAATTCCTGGATTGGTTGAGGAGGGCTACTAGTGGTAAGCTTTGGAGGTATGGTAAATGGTGTTTTGACCACTAGAGCTTCTTCTTGATTGGGTTCGATAGCCTTCTTTTCTTTAGGAAACTCATCATGGATGTCAGCGTAGGAGTGTTCTTTAAGATTTTTTTGAGAAGCTGATAGGATCTAGATAGCTAGAGGCTGGGTGAATATCCTATAAAAATTCTCTACAAATTCACAATTTCACTAGTGCAAGATGGTTGGTACAAAATATGACCCTAATAGCAACCAAAAGCTCTAGCTCTAGTTCAATACAAGAAAGCCCCCAACACAAGTCTAGTAGCAGTTGATCTCTAGCTAATTCACTTCACCACTCAAGCTACTAACTACACAACTAAACAAGAGAGCAAACTAGAGAGCTACTAACAACTAGAAAGGAACAACAAGCTACTCTTGTGCTAAACTAAGCAAAGAGCTACCACTACTTAAACAACACAAGCAAACAAGCACTACACAAGTGAATGAATGAATGGATGAAATACAAGTGTACAACTTTATACCGAACTGGGCAAGAGAGGTGACACAATGAATTTTTCTCCCGAGGTGCGGTTGCTTGCCAGCAACTTAATCCCCGTTATGGCGAGTCTTTTGGTGAGATGATTTACGCACTAACAAGCATCACAAACTTGACCCACAACCTTGGGTGTCACAAGAATCACTCCCACAAGCCCTCCTTCTAGCCACGCACAATTTATTAGAGTATCATTTTGCTTCCCGTGAGGTAGGATCAAAACCTCTCACAATTCCTTGATTAGGGGCGGAAATAATCACCAATTCCCCTCACCAATCACCGAAGCACCAACCGTCTAGGTGGCGGCAACCACCAAGAGTAACAAGAACGCCCAAGCTTCACAATCACTAGTGCCACCAAGATCCAATCAACAAATGCAATGCCTAGTGATGAATCGGTCTCTCGCAAAGTGTTTGCAAGAGCACAAGAGCAAGAGAGAGGAGGAGAGGCTTTTCTCAGCTTTCACAAGAGTTAGGAGGTTCAACAAATGGCCAAGAGAGCTCCAAGAACCGGTCAACCCACTATATAACCCTCTCCAAAGAAAATGGTCGTTAGGCCTTGCTGCTGGTGCAGCCGCCCACTAGTGGTTTGATCGCGGGTAGAGTCGGTCCGACCGCCAGCCCCGAAAGGTTGAGCAGCAGCGATGTTGCAGCGACCTCTGACCGGCAACGATGATTCCAGGTACGGGCCTTGGAAGCCCATTGATGAAAATGAAAAATCGATCCCAACAAACGCTAAAATGGGTGGTGTCTACTTCTTTGATGGGGGAAAGACTTCATTTCTCAAATAAGAAATCGTTTGTCTTTCCTCTCTGATTCTAACTCCACCTTAGATGTGATGAGGGCAGGTTCAGCCCTGTATAAAGGGCTCTACCCTGGTGAGCTTGACCGGCAGGACTTGGTTCGCCTTCCTCCGTAATGGGTTGGGTCAAACTTGGCAGGCCATCACACCATCTATAAAAGATAGAATGATTTGCAACTTAGAACTAAGAGAGTAGAATTTATAGAGTTTGAGGACCACTCCCATAGAATATATTCTGACGAACAAAATAAAATTAGAAAACAAAGTAGAATTTATATAGAGTTTCAGGACTACTCCCCTATAGTATATTTGGATGGACGTAATAAAATCAGAAAACGGAAATGAAATGAACGAAGACACGTTTGGAGTTTAGACACATGAAGTGACGAAGAGATATCTGGCTTGTTTTGTTTCACGCCTCACTTACCTACGGGCGACGAGTCAGCTGGCGCCGTTGCAATCCTCACCGCCGCAGCCCGCAGGCAGCGCCTTCCTGCGGCGCGCGCTCGTGCTCGGAGGCGGCAGCCCGCTCTTGAGGCAGGCCCCCGCGCCCCGAGGCATCCAGGACTGTTAGCTCATCAGCAGACGCGCAGGAGATCTCGGTCCTCGTTTCATTTCATCGGTGTCGTGGTTGACTCCTACCGCAGGCACAGGCCTCCTTCGCGAGCAATCGCTTTCCGCGACCGACCGACGCCTGCAGCCGCGCCACGCCCTCGCCCCTGGGCCTGCGCGCCGCCTCCGCCTTAGCGTGCCAGAGCGAGGCGCCTCGGCAGCAAGCGGTGACGGCGGCCGCTTCGTGCGGCTTGAGCCCGGCCGTCAGTGCTCTGCCTCTGCCCCGCGGAACAACGCAGTCGCGGCTGCGGCAGCTTGACGAGGCTTCAGCTCGCCGGTGCTCCGGGCCTCGCCCGCCCTCCCCGGCTCGGCAATTGTCCCTAAATCTCAGGAGTATTTTGCTGGAGTAATACTCACCTCACGTTTCCAATCGCTTGAAAACAGGATAGCATTTGGCATATCTCTGTCTACAGTATACGCTCTTCTTTCCACCACCAAGTCTCGCTCGTTCCCGCTTTTCTGACGCCCCCCCTCCACCCTGCGACGACCTCCTTCCGTTTTCCCGCCGGCGCCGGAGGGTGCAGCCGCCCTCACTGGGCCCCACCGGCGCTTTCCCCGGCGGCCACGCCAGCGGTGCCTCGCCGGCTCCTCCTTCCAATGGCGGCCGGCATTTGGGACTTGATCTCCGGCGGAGCTGGCGGTGCGGCCGCTGCGTCCCTCGCCGTCCGGCGAGGTATGCAGCTTTTCCGGCAGGGAGATGTAGCTGGCTCATTGGCAGAATTTGACAGGGCGATCGACATGGACCCACGACAGAAGCAATGTACGAGCTCTTACCTGCTGCTTTTGTTTGAGGTGTGCCTGTGAATGCCATTATGCCAGCGTTAAATTGTTGCATAGAACACTACATCATTGCCCGTTAGACATAGCTGCAGCTAACGCCTTGTTACAGATCTTTGGCAAAGGGGCCTCTCACTCTACTACCTAGACAGGTGTGTAAAAATTATCCCACTAGCACTTAACACCCATGATCCTGGTCATCATCCAAGAGCATTGATCCAAAAGTTGGAGTGAGAACTCTGTAACGGGGTATATACTTCATGAATGTATTCAAACATAGGTTTGAAGAAGGTGCAGAGCAGTTCAGGATAGACGTTGCAGCTAATCCGAATGATACCGAAGAATCCATATGGTGCTTTCTATGTGAAGCTCAGGTATATGGGATTGAAGAAGCAAGGAAGCGATTCTTGGAGGCAAGTTCTTTGGGGTGTACTTGTTCAAGTACAATTGTCTCCTCATCAAATTCTAACTTGACGAGCATTCACTTTCTTCAGGTTGGTTTGGACTCCAGACCTGTAATGCGTGAAGCATATGTGCTGTTAAAGGTTATTTCAGCGAAAGTTGATGTCTATGTGCAGTTTGTGTTCTACAACTTCTTTCTAAATATTTCTTGATATTTCAACTCTTGCCCCCGCGTCGTCCCGACGGGCGGCTCTCCCAGCCCTCGTACCCGCATCCCCGCAACCCTAGCGGCGCCTGCGCCGCCACCGGAGCTGCCGGCCGGAGGCTCGGCAAGCAGCGAGGAGGGCGGTGGCGCGGCAATCTCGCTCTCCTCCTCACCCATCACTCTCCTTCCTCCCTCCTTTCCCATCCCGACGGGCTGCGTCAAGCAGCGTGATCGGGCCTGCTCCGGGGTCCGGTAGCCGGATCTGCACGGGTGGCCGGGGTGCTCGGCGGCCGAGCATGCCCACGTCATTCCCTTCTTGAATGCGTCCTTTCCTACCTTTTCTCCTACCGTACTGGATGTTACAGGTGAAAACCTTCCTTGGCGGGCTACCATGTCGGCGCGTTTAGCGTTGTTTCCTCCTCGGGGGCATGGCTAGGCATTCCAGTTTCGCGATTGATCCTTACTGTTTGGTGTCGCTCGGCAGGACGTCGTCTTCTTCGGTCCTTGTTAGTTGATATTTGAGTTGTTTAGTTGGATCGTTCTGACCAAGTTGGATGAAGTAGTGGTGTGAGTTGTGATAGTTGCCCAGTTGTTGTACCAAAGTTGCTAGGACGAGTGGTGCACTCTCCTGAGTTGTATGGTTTTTGGACCCAGTTTTCGCTCAAAAAACTGGTTGGGCATTTGCCTTTTTTTTCATCGTCTAATAGAAATCGCGGCAAAGCTTTTGCCGTCCTGTCGAAAAAATTTCTTGATATTTCCCGTGGTCCTTTTTTTTTGTTTGGGCTTTAGTTAGTTGCAAACTTTTCGAGTGGCTCTGATGCTGAGATCTTTTATTCTTCACTATATGCTGGACTATACTATGAATCTCAGGTATGGAATAACCATTAAAGCCCTGTTTGAAATGCGTGGCCTTTTATACATTGTTTCAGGAATTGAATTCTAAATTCTTTCATTCTAACGAGACCTCGATTTTTTTGTCAACTTTTTTGTTATCTGTTAATTGGTTAACATTCTAAAATTTGTACGTTTCACACCTAAGGTACATCCGTCCTTTCATTTTACATGTATTTCAATGTTGTAGTTCTCCGTGTTCAAAAAACCATTATACAAATATGCGACTTCATATATCTTGATTAGATTTTCTTCACTGGTTGCATAATAGATATATATTCCAGTTGGTACATCACTAGGAAACATACTTCCGTTTATAATCCATCTGAACACTTCATTCATGTAGCAAATATTCTAAAGAGCAAAACTTTTTAGCATCCAATTTAATAACATCTTATGTTCATTCATGATTACTCCCTCCTTTGCAAATTGTAGTTCATTTTGGTTTTGTCTTAAGTCAAACTTCTATAAATTTGGCTAAATTTGTAGCAAAGCTCACCAGCACTAGAACATCAAGTTTGTTTCTTTAGATTTTTCCATTTAATATATTTTGATAGAGAATTTATTTGAACTTATAAATATAAATATATTTTTCTAAAAACGTGGTGAAAGTTAGAGAAATTTAGAACAAAGCCAAATCCCAAAATGAATTATATATAATTTGGAACCGAGAGAATACCAATTTAATATAGGCAAATCTCTCCCCTTTCTTTGTATCATCATCAGTGTGAAGTTAATTACTAGCTACACTTGATGCTGAGCAGAAAGATGCAGATATGGCAGAATCTCACATTGTTGCAGCATGCAAGTCGCCGTATGGATCGAGGTTTGGCATGCTTCCCTCTTTCTCTCTGTCTATATATATGCTGTGCTCAATAAGTATTGATCTATGTATGCTAAGTCCAATTCTCTGTGTAGGTCCGGCGATTACATGGCTTCCCTTGCACTTGTCCACTGCCAGTGCCGCAACTGGAATTTAGTGTGAAAGAAATCACCATATTCAAGAGGACCCGGCAATTCGGTTTGGATCCAGTAACTTGAGTGTTTTTCATCCCGTGATATAGACTTCAAATATACTTGCAACCGGATTCTCCTTGTTGAGCAGCATCAACAAGGATATAGATTTTCAGACAATGACTGATCGAGTTAATAAGGACAATATGGTAGGCTATTGGGTGTGGAAAAAATCGAAGATCTTCTCTGTTCTAAAGTCTTTTTAGTACTTGATTTACATGGCATTCTATCTTATGATATGGATATTCATTTCAAAGAGTCAATCCACATTCGTATCTAACCCAGACAATAAAAGTCAAAACAAACTCTATAATTATTAAATATTTTATTATTATCACAAAATACATGGGAAATAAATGTAGAAAACTAAAACAAATATATAAAAGAAAGAAAAAGAACAAAAGATATAAACGTTTGAATGTTGAATGCATAAGCAGACAAAACAAAATAAATATAAATAATACGTCACTATAAATATATATAGGAAAAAAGGCTAAGGTAGTAGACCAACATGCATGCAGCATGTGTCAAAACTGTGCAGCTGTAGGAGTAAAACTTTAGTCTGCCTCACAAGGCAGGACGGTGTTATGACGATACTCACTGTAAAAATACCCAGGCTGCAATCATCTCAACAACACCAACCAATGGTGTAGCAACGCCTGATCGCTTACAACCGATGTAGATTTTTCCTTTCCTCAGTATTCATAATAAATATAACTTAGATTAGATGATTAACAAAATAAAACATTTCAATATTTGTCGGATATTCTTTTGGATATCAGTAGGATATATTGCCGGATATTGGATATATGTTGGATTTTGGTAATCTTGTATTTGTATTTGATACTCAACTAAGGTATTTGAATTTCTGTTTGGTAGCCAAGAACTCAGACATCTGAAAGAATTGGGAATTACTATATTACAGGTGCCAGAATTCTAAACTTTTTTCAGGCGACGGATCTAAGCCGTTGGATCAAGATCTAACGTCCCTAGCTAACCCAACATTGTTCATCTTCTTCCCCTCATCGTCTTTCACCCCGACTCCCGCATCCCGATCGCTCGCCTGGCCCCGGGCGCCATGTGTCATGGACCTCCGGCCGAGCCCCTAGCACACCATGAGCCCCCCCTCGCCGGAGCTCCCCCACCCCAACCTGACCCAGCTGCCTCCACCGCTGTCAGGGCCCCTAAACCATCCTCCACCGTCCCCACCACCTAGCCCACCTACCTCCCCTGTCATGTCTTCTTCCGGTTCTAGTTGTAGGCACTCAATGGCAGATTTTGGAAGGAAATAGTCATATTTACCCCTATCGTTTAAGTTTGAATTTCTTAGCCAAATTGCAAAATCATGCATTAGTCCTCCATCAATTATCGGAACAGACTAACTAATAACACCACCATTCTAGACGATGTGGTTTACGCGAACAAGATGCCGACACTAGTTGAAAGGGGTAAATAAGTTAAGACTTCTCAACCTTTGATCAGACAATGGTGGCAAGGCTGAAGGCCCCATTAATCGGCACGCCAGTGCAAGACTGGTCTAATCTTGGTTTACTCCACGAATTCGTCTCCCGGCCTGGCCTGCCGGCTCGCTCACCACCTGCTCTGAGGGCACAGAGCACACGCTCCGCATTCCGCAGCGTCTCCAGAGCAGAGCGCTGGACAACGGAGACGATCAATGCGGGCAGCAATCGGCGGTCCCCCTCGGTCGGTACTCGGTAGAGGAGCATCGTCCGGCCAGTACAGCTAACAATGGTCCGTAGCTCCGTACGCCAATGGTGGCGCGCAAGGAACACGTGCTTGCTTTGGTTCCGCTACCTGTTTGTGCAGGCATGCCACAGCCGCGATGGTGAATCGAATGAATGAGCAATGTTCTGTCGAAACAGTGGTAGCCCTGTCCTGACGCTCAAGTCATACCTGAACCTGAACCACAAGTACTCCGAAGCTGTTTCGATTTGACGGCGTGCTGGTTGCCTTGGGCCTGCCATTAAGAACAGCTATCTGAGGGTTGTACTCAGTCTCTGCCTCTGGCGTGCTACTCCCTCTGTCTTGCGAAACATAAATCACGTCGTCACATTCTCAATATCTAGTATTTACCTGCAATAAGACACGTCGTTAGATGTACTAAAAACACTTTGGCAGCTTCAGTCTGTAATTTACAGCTGATCCACATCCTGCTCAGCGTCAATGAACTTACTTGTCTCTGTATTCTTTACCCACCAGCATCCATATACAATTTTAAATATGCCGCCCCGACCAGCATTTTCTTGCTCACGACACAGCAACACAAAGTTACTGAAACTAACTGAAATAAAGCAGCTCAAATCCTTTATTATTTTGATCTTTATTCCAGAATGAGGGATGGCGTCTCCTTTTGATCACCCATCCCTTACAAAGGGGCAACATCAAAGTACATACAAAAACCAAAAGAGGGAGAACATAAAAAAGACAGAGAGAAAAGGACAGAGAAAAAGATGTGTGTGTGTGTGTGTGTGTGTGGGGGGGGGGGGTGAGATCTACAGACCTCTGATCATGGAGCCTACCACAAATCACATAGCAGATATGGCTGACATCGAGATTCTACGGGTACGGCGAAAACAGAGGAGAACAAGACGATCAATGGAGTGATTAGGTTGGCACTAATAATCCACGCCAATCACAAGATCACACAATCCTGAGATAGGCCCCCCTCCCTCCCTATCTCATACTGGTGTGAGAAACTTTGTATGATTTGGACTGGAATCGTTGGGTAGTGGCTGTGCAGGGTTTTTTTCTTTCTTTTTTTTTTGTGTGTGTGTACATTGTTGATTTGGTGTTGCAGGGTTCTTAGCCATGTAGCAATGTGGACGTGGGCGAAGAAGATAGGGTCATCAGCAGAAAAGCAGCCTCCTCCACTCCCATTAGGAGCCTCCGTTTCTGCACCACCTGCAAGTTGCTGCTACTGCTGTTGCTAGAGCTGTCTTTTACTTCAGTCTTTGCCTCACCATTATTCTGTTGTTGCTGCTGCTTGTGGTCTAGGCCAAGCTCTTGCCTCCTCTTCTTTCGGTACCGAATCCCGCAAGCGTTGCAAAGTGACTGCCAACAGAATTGAAACGAGTTAAGAAAAAAAAAGAGACCGCATTCGATTTGTTTTCAGGGCATAGAGTGAAATTAAGCATCAAGTTTTTTTATCCAAAACAGTTCTCTTGGTTATTTTATTATCCTAAAAAAAGTGTGATAAGTCATGTCTTTGTGCGCAATTTAGGTCAGCGGAAACACATTGAAAAAGTGGAGGAAAGAAATGAAAAATTATCAAGCTAGGAGAATCAAAGTGGATAAAGTATCTTTCTCCCGGCACACCATTGGCTCGGTGGTTAGCACTGTTGGAAGCAACAGCTCACCAAACCACCAAGTTGCAGTCCAATTGAATAGAGAGAAATATCAAGAAGACAAGTCGTATTAGCAATAGATCACCAAAACCCAACTCACCATTCCCTGTCCCAAATCATATCAAACGTCTTGTAACTACAGATTACGACGAACATTTTTGTTATCCCTATTTTCAGTTGCTAAAATACTGCTATATCATGAAAATAAAAGCAATATTACCATGAAAAAATTAATAGAGCAGGTTTCATTTATCTCAATTGCAAATAGTTTCTCAATTGTCAAGTCCACTTGAAACATTTGGCCGTAAGAGTAATAGGAAACTTCGCTGAATAGACCCTCAAAAAGCATGTTTGTCTCTGTGTGACAGCTCTCGATGATGGAATTCAAAAACTGGAAGACCTTGGGCGCACAGGTTAGATTTGGTGGAATGTGGCTCGATCGTCCTTAGCTAGCCGTCTCTGATTAGAACACACTGCTAATAGCGCACCAATTTGACATGGTCTTTGGTGCCTCGATTGCATCGTACTGTTTTACAAGGCTGAATTTTAATTCCACATTCACTACAAGAGATCAGCAGATCATCGTGCATCCAGCTTTTAGGCTTTAGCCAAACATAATCCCATCCATACTTGTGCCAAGTTATTGAGAGTAACATGTATCTTTCCTATTGATTAGAACATATTCATAAAAAGAAGCAGTTCATAAGCACATACGAGAAGGCTCGTATATATATCTCTACTAAGCGGGCAGGATTGACAGCACAAAATTTTCAGTAGTATAAGAAGGTTATAAGTAGAAGATCACATATATCCTATCCTATATACAAACAGGAAAAACGAGTAGTATTTGCAGGACTATCGGAGTCGTGTACATATGTACATATAGCTAGGTTGATCAAGATCAGCAGCGAATCCAGCGACCAGGAATCCCCAATCTGGTGGTGCCTTATCCGGACGAACACTATATGGAGCCTGGCAAACAAGAGGAGGGAGGGCGATCATGAGCTTACCCTGGGCCCAGTCGGGCCGCTGCGCCACATGGGCGTGGTGGTGGCGCGGCATTCGACGCAGCTCCTGGCGCCTTTCTCCGGCACCACGATCCCATCGATCTGCAGCGACGACGGGTTGCAGGAAGCAGAGGAGAGGTCAGGCCGAGATCACAGAGCTTGGCGCTTGGCGGCAAAGGAGAGAGAGGAGAGCAGAGACCAGAGCCAACGGATGTACCTTACTGCGATCGGCGGAGCCCATCGGCGTCGGCGCTGGCGCCGGCGGCAGCAGACGACAGCCCCGATCCATGGCCGGGGTTGGCGACAGGATTGCTTGGAGAATTTTGGTTTTCGGGCGGCGTGCGTGGTCTGGTCTGTTTCTTCTTGGATAGAAGCGTGTAGTAGAGAGTAGAGAGTAGTTGCGGGGAAGGGAAGGGGGATGTGTTTGTGTGTGGGAGAGAAATGAGGTCGGAGTGGGGAGGGAGGCTGTGCCTACGCATGTATCACGTATGCGAGTGGGAGATAAGCCGAGGAGGTGACGTGGCCTTTGCGGCTGCCCTGGGAAAGATTTCGCTTCTAGCGGTTGTAGTTTTCCTTTTTTTTTGTCTGGCTGGGTTTGAAAGCAGGACCGTAAGGGACCTCAAAAGTCAAAACTACTCCCTCCATTTTACTTATGAGACATCTTTTATTTTTTCTAAATATATTTTTTACTATATATCTAGATATAATGTATGTATATCTAAGTACATCATGAAAGTTGAGTGTCTAAAAAAATTAGAACATCTTATAATTTAGAGGAGAAGGAACAATTAATAGCTGACTCATCATCATTCGGGCTGTTCCATACCTTAAGCATCAAGAATTGATTGGAGCACTGTTTGTACTAAGTTTATCTCATTTATATATATCCCCTGTATTACTGTCACAAACATGTCGCTTTCATAGGCATTCATTGAGCGAAACAAAGAGTGAACTTTTAATCTTGAAAAGTTTTGCCACTATTAGTAAGTCAAGTTCAGTTTGATTTCAAAATTTTCTGTAGCAAAATACCACCCCCCCCCCCAAAAAAAAAAACTATATATAAGCAATTCCGCCTCCATTCAACTTAATTAAAGTTGTGCAACTTTCTTCTTTGAACACAAACCTTTCAACTAAGAAGAAAATCCATCCTAGAAAAATGAGAGGATTTAAGGACAAACCAAACATGTGGGCTTTGCCCAACAGCCACAATGTTAAGAAGCAGTGTGGCGGAATATTCCAGTTTTATTTTTATGGGTATCAGACTTTTTTTTAACGTCTCTTTCAATGATGATATTTTTCAATGTAAGGCTGGTGGCTGCTGTTTCGTTAGATGAAGAAAAGATAAAATATCTTAGGGATAAGGTCCTTAGAACTAAAGTGCTAACAGTTCAGGTATACTGCTAGCGCCCGCACGTCCGGACAGACGCCTGCGGCTGCAGTCGGTTTCCTCCCTGAATTTCACGCGTCCACGCATGGGCCCGCGCCATCCGAATGTCGCTCGATCACGCTAGCGTCACCCGCGCCCACGCAGGGGCCTGCGCCGCTCGATGTCGCCCGCGCGTGGACCGCTCACGCCCCCTCCCGCTTCTCCACACGTATCCCATGTACGATACCCAGTCTACTTTTAAAACATCTAGATGCAACACTTGCAACATATAAAAAAAGATGAAACACTTGAAACATGCATCTGAAATATCTGCAAAACCAATTGAAAACCATTGCAAACATATGCAGCATACAGATAAAACACTTGCAACATATATTTGAAACATATGCAACATCCAAATAAACACACTTGTAACATACGTCTGAAAAAACAGATGAAAACGTTGGGGGACAGACGCTTACAACATATATGTACAACAATTGCAATATATGCAACATCCTAATCTACTTTTGCAACATCCGTGTGAAACATTTGAAACATGCTTCTAAAATATTGGAAACATTTGAAATGTACACTTGCAACATGCATCATATCCCGATACTGCCTCCTCCACCATTTGCATTGGGGCGCCACAGCCGTAGCAGGAGGCGAGGTCGGATGGCCTTCCATGCCATGGCCCGGTGCTTTCTCCTTGTGCAGCGGTGCCTGTCGACGTCGTTGGGCGGGGCAGACGACGGAGTAGGAGCAACGGCAGGCGCAGCAGGGCGGGCGGGCGGAGCAGCGGTAGGAGCAGGCCGCGGTAGGTCGCTTTGGTGGATGACGTAGGGCACGGCAGCGACGATGACGTAGAGGGCGGGTGGGTGCTGGAGCAGGAATCTTAGATGGACGCCGTGACGGAAGGCGGAGGGGCGGACGACGTGGTGAACACCGCAACAGCGGAGTGGGGAAGGTTATCGTCACATAGATGGGGGAGTAGGGGAGGCCGGTTGCCTGTTGGGCCGGTTCGCTGCGCAGGCTCAGGAAGACAGTGTCCGGCCGTCCAGACGCCGTACAGGAAGTATAACCGAAACGCTAAAGCCACGTCAATTCTAAATTTCTTTAGACCGGAAAGGAAAACTCCACATTTATCAATATAACTACTTTTATTATTTTTGATTTGCTGCAAAATCCACACTTTCAATGAAACCTCGAGACGAGGTTGAAACTCGATGCCACCGCTTAAGCCGTGTTTCACTTCAATGATAGTACAATACAGAACTTAAATTTGAGGAACTAGCTTTGCGTTTACAGATGGAGCAACAAAAAAATCATTAGTTCAAAAAGGAGAAGAAGAGCCTTCATTTGCCTTTTCCTTTTTGTTGCTGCTAGTGGTACGCTTCTTATCACAGTGGATGCAGTGACCAGAAAGTGCAGGAGCAAACAGAAGGTGTAGTCCACTCAAGGCTTCCCCAATGCACCACGGTCTACATCTACATGGAGCCAACCTTTTTGACGAGGCTAATGCTGCCCTCAACAGCCATGCCCTGTAAAAGCCACCGAGAAGAGACGAGGATGAGAGAAACGTGACGTCACGGCTTACTGGTCAGCACATAGGCCTGGGGCTTACGCTATCACTGGCTAGTAGTTTTCATAATCTACCTAGACGGTCGTGATATCATTTTAAAACAAAAAGATGCTGATCTGTTTTTTTATGCTGTCACGGTGGTTTGGTGCTCTCATTAACTTTTAAGTATGATTTTGTAGGACACTGCTTTAGCCTGCTTGTAACAGTTCCGTAAACTAATGGAAGAGAATGGAACGATGAATAATAAAACACAATAAAAAGGGTGCCTTATATTAAACATGAATTCCGTAAACCTATGGCCCCGTTCGCTTGTCTTAAATTTGGCTTGTTAGAACTTTTTTTTCAAATAGGAACAGATGATTTTCTCTCATGACAATTCAAATAGGAACAAAGTATTTTTCAAATGGGCCAAATTAAAAAAGTTCGACCAAATGAATAAAAAGGAGTTTTGGAGCACCAACTTGCTTCCCAAATTCTACATCTTAATATTCTCGCTAATTCAAGGTTTTGGTCCATCCGATAACTATTTGTCAATCTTCCATGAGAAACACGAGACCCCCCGTGTACCAATCTCGCCGTCCACTAGGGCGGGCTTCTTCACTTTCGGATCAGCATGATGTACTCTTTAGTCAACTCCCAGCAGTACTCTGTTATATATATAGAGCAGCAGTACTCTGTTTGGTTGCTCCATGGAAACCACTAGAGCCTCTACCTGTGTGAGCATGAGTATCTCTTCCACCAGGACATATTCTCTTTGCTTTTGAGCACATATTCTTCTTGCTACAAAAGGGCCAAATTGCAAAGTATATCCTCTGAATTATTGCCAGGTGTACTTACTTTTTGTATACATGGGATCTAACTAAACGGGGGGTGGGAATTGGAAGAATAGCTGCTGCCTGCAACGAAATCTGCACGAGTATCTTCTTGGTGAAAACAAATCCACCAGGCCGGGGGGTGTGCAAAGACGCGGACACATCCACACACAGCCCTTTCAATTTCCAAGACTGGATCAACCCATACCAAACAAGGTTTGAGCAAGAAGAGCCCTCGGCCAAGAGATTTGATACGGCAGCCGAATCCAGCGGATAAGAGGATAGCCATCATCATCCATTAAGACGAGAAGCTTAACCAACAAACTGAACAAAGGCAACCAGCTACACCCTCCTCCATAGGACCACCACCAGGTCCACACCACCCACATCTCTCAGGTGTATAAATAATGACATGCTGATTAGAAGCTCACCCCATGATTGGGATCGCGCTGGAAGGATGCCATCTCGTTCTTCCATTCACAAGGCGATTTCTTTGCCTGATAACTAGTGACAATCGGAATCAGCTTTGGGTGCAGTTAACTGCGATAAAAGCGTCGGAGAAAGGGGTCATCACTCTGCAACGCATGTCATACTCAGACACCCTTACATATAGACAGACAAAAGATCAGACCATGTTTAGCATACCAGGTTATGCTTTGCGTCATGAACTACGTCGCTCCTAACTTGCAGCCAGGACATAAACATATATGCACTTTTCATCAATCTAGTATGAGATGGTTCCATGAGACTCAAATAATTCTAGACTAGATACCTTAAGTTAGAGCATGATTTTAAGAAAAAACGAAACTAAAACTGAGTCCACAACTTTATGATAAACTCCAATTTTACGATTTTTAATTTCTCGAAAAAATTATTTATACAATTTAGTCCGATTTGCTGGCTAACATGGCGCCATGTAGGGCAAAACCACCATCCAAAACATCCACCATGCTAGTTCAATAGGTTTCAAAAGTCAACCGAGGTTGGTTTTCAATTAAGGAAGACGAATCAAACTTCAAGCAAAGTTGGAGCTTAAAAGACCTTCTCCCTTACGTTAAAAAAAAATTCTCCCAAATACATTTGTCTCAAGAGAAATAAAATGGGAGCAACCATATTTGGGCCGTGCTGGGCTGGACCTATGTACAATTGGCGGCAGGCAAACCAGGCCATACCAGCCGGCTAGCTGCCAATACATAACCGTATACGGATGCAATAGGAGTACAATTTACCGATACATAGCCGTATACGGATGCAATAGGAGTACAATTTAAGCTGGAGCTCCGGCTCTAGCTTGCTACACTGTATCAAGAACGTAGCAAGAAACTGTTGTACGTATCTCTCTTGTATTTCGCGCAGTGAGCAAGGAGTCAGAGCCAGAGCCAGAGCCGAATGAAGCCAGGCCTAATATGCCCATAAAGTTACAAGGCACCCACGAAACGATAACATATATTTAGCAAAAGAACAGTCCACGCTTTGCAGTAACAAACTAATAACAATAACTAGGGTAGAAAACCACTAGGATGCTTATATACCATAACGTTTTACAGTACTGCATAGAGATGACCTGATGAAAGCCAACCACCTATTATTCTTTCACCTCAACAGAAAACAACGAAACCTCATTTGACAAGGAGAGGTGAAAAGCAAGAAGAGTTTACTCCGACAACGCAAGCAACATGATCAACGCCAGGCATGGTTGCAGTCTTCACTTCGGGCCTGTTCGCTGGTTGGGGCTGGTGCTGGTTTTTTGTGAGAGTAAAACACTGTTGGCTGGCTGGTTTAGGCTGGCTAAAACCAACGAGCGAACAGGCTTCTTCAGATAGAGAATTACGGACCACAAGAATCAACCGCAGAACAGAGACAGGATGGTGCAAAATGGCTGCGCAGCCCGTTGACCAATATTCACTGCTTTTGTAAGGACTGACCAGTGACCACGAGTCCACGACAACTGCCTCAGATGAGGACGACAGGACCCAACCACGAATGCAACATGAACCCTCCTCCCCTCGTGGTGAAAAGACCCAATCCAAATAGCCAGTGCTCCACATTTTACCTTCCAAATGAACACTGGGAACCTGTTCCACATAGTGACAAATCATCACATCATCTGAATTGCAAACTTACCAAGACAAGCATGTCATCCAATTTGAGCCACCAGTGAAGACAAGCATACCTTCAGCCAAATTTGAAAACCCCTGGTGGAACAGAGACCTGCTGGTTACTATTGTGGATGCCGGTCTGGGGTGCATTCCCTTCTGAGGTCATGACATCATCTTCCACAACCCAGAACGTCTCGAGCAAGTGAGCCGCCATCTGATATACCATGTCATTGTCATTGTTCAGGAGGTCCTCAATCTTGTCCAAACCATCAGCATCTTCAATCATCTGTGCATACATGTTGACATCGCAAGCCCCTGAGTCCTTCTCTTGCTCTCCAACCTTCAAGATATTCCCAAGGCCCTCCAAACAGACTATCAATACTCTAGTATCAGAATGACCAAGGATATCACAAAAGGCGTTAATGCAACCCTGGCTTACAAGGTACCTAGCAAACAAATGATATGTTAGTAAAAGATTGGTGCTTGTGCTTGCATAAGAGCACAGAAGCACAAAAACAAAGAAGATCAACTAGCATACTTTATCTGATCATGTGTTCCACCACATGAGGCATTACTAATTGCCCAAGCAGCCTCATTGCTGACAGCAAACTCCGCAGTACGCACCAAATGGACCAAAGGAGCAATTATGTTCGCATCAATCACAGCCTAGAACATGAGTACAAGTTACTTCAGTAAACTATGATCAGTAAACAATGAATTTAAGATGTCCCCCCATCAATAATACATGGTGGCTTCCCAACAAATGTGAAATTTCACAATACAAAGTATACCGCTATTAATAGTTTTATACGTTCCAATCCTATCAATTTGCTACATAGAAATGTTCATTGAGGTTTACAAACCTGAATCTGCTCCTTGTTTCCAGCTGTGATGTTGGAGATTGTCCAGCAAGCTTGTTTTTTGACGCTTTTGATTTGATTTGTCATCAAAAGATTTAAAAGATATGGAAGTGCTCGATGATCAACTATACGCTGAAGCAAAGGAAAAGAAGCATTAGTAACATGAACGTGCATAAAAAAAGAATATTAATCAAGGGAAATACAAAAATCTAAAACAAAAAGGGAAAAAATCAGCAGAAGTGCATAGATTGGCATAACACAAGACACTTTAGAAGAATGCACTACCAAAAATATGATGAATCAAGCTGAGAGGTATGTAATGAATCAGTTTACTCTGTTCTAATAGACTAATAGACTTTTCTGATCAAAGAGTGATAAGGTGCCAAAGTAAAGGTAAAAGAAAAAAATTCAAGAATAATAAAGAATACATACCAGGTAGCATACTAACTGGAAAAAACAACTATAATTTACCAAACAGAGAGGACATTATTGCACAAGTTGCACTACCATCTAGATAAATGTCACTCTATGCTTTCTTTTATGCGCAAATTTGTCATGATTTGTTATCTTGGCGACAAAGACTGATAGAGATATACTAAAGCAATATCTGATATTGGATGCTAGATAGAAAAAATACCTGAGTATGCACTTCATCCCCTGCAGCAATGCTACCAATCACAAGCAGAGAAGGAACGAGCACCGAAGGTGAAGGATGGCTAAATCATTTTTTTAGTAGCTTGTGCGTCAGAATTTGTATTTATATTTCTCAAACTATAAAGCCTAGAGTTAATATAAAAAGGAAAAACTTACCTAAGGAGCTCAACAAGTCGAGGGCATGCTCCAGTTTCAATGACAGCTTCGATCCTGGCGTTGTCTTCAGTACCACGAGACAAGTAAAACATTGCCCAGCAGGCATCACTAAGGACCGCCTCATCTTCAGAGTGAATGAGTTGTCGCAAAACTAGGAGTGCCAGCTTCACCTGCTCGATCACAAAACCAACCAACTATCAGTCATTAAACAACATATGTAGCTAGTACACCATCAGAGAGAGGACCTCCATACATGTTCAAAGTTGGGTTCTCCACGGCAAAAGTTGCTGAGAGACCAGGTAGCAGTTCTCAACAATGAGAGTCTAGGGTTCCCATTAAACAGCTGAAGTAGTGGAAACAACACACCATGTGCATGCACAATGTCATGGCACTTTGCAGAATCACCAGCCACATTGCCCAGGGCCCACACAGCCTACAAATTTGAAACAAATCATCCTTTTATACTTCACACACTATATGTGCCACTAATGGCATGAAATGTTTGCGCAATTTAAACAGTGATAGTTTGTTTCCTAACGTGCCTGTTCACGGACATCCTCATTTGGGGAGGTGAGAAGCTTCACAAAGATGGGGACGGCACCAATATTAACAACCAGCATGGTGTCCTCTGATGATCCAGACGCAATGTTTGTGAGAGCCCATGCTGCCTCAAACTGCAGCCACAACAAAACCAGAAAAGAAAAGGTAAGTTTTCATCATAAACAGATCAGGATTACCACCATTCAATGTTCAAGCAAGTTGACGATTCATCATAGATAGATTGGGATTATAACACCATACAATCTTCAATCAAGCAAGTAAAGCAACATTGTCATGTTTGAGAAGCAGCAACAGTACAACCAATTTTGAGTTTATAATATAACTACAAACAATATCTATATCTGCATTCTGCAATGCACTAGTACAGAGTCATAAAGCTAATGCAATAGTTTAAGACTGAATCTGCCTCAAAAGTAGTAGCATTGTTGAATTTGCAGAGTCACTGCACATACCTGGAGCTGAGGGTAGTCCTCCCTGGAAAGCAACTGTACGAAGCGAGGCAGAACTCCACATTCAACAACCTCCTTAATTGGGGGATCCCGCTCTGATAAATGAATCCATTGTTAATGATCAGAGAAGATAAACGTATATTTTGGTTGCAGTTTGGACAACCGCACACAGTAACGAATTTGAATGCAAATTCAGTAGTATTAGACGAAAAGTTTCTCTACGATCCCAAAAGTTCAAGAAAATTCCCACAAGTTTTATTTTATTATGCAAATGAAAAAGGCAGGGATTGGAAAATTAACTACGAAAAAAAGCTAACATACCGACTGACAGCAACTTCCTGAACTCCCTGGCCGCCTCAAATTGCATGCTGCTGTCATCCGAGTATAACCCCGCGGCCCACTGCGTCAGGTTCACCAACTACACCCGCAAGATATTATATATAGCGAAAAAAAGTTCAGGAAACGAAACAGAACGGAACGAACAAATCTACTGTAGAACAAAAAGGAAAACAAGAGGAAAAAAAAACACCAACGCCGAACCCACCATCTTCTCAAGGGCCGGCGGTTGCGATTGCGCATGCGGCGCCGCCTCGGAGCAGCGCTTCCTCCGGAGGGCGCTCCCGCGGCTCTCCTTGCGGATGCTGTCCATGGCGCTTACGCGCCGCCGCAGCCCGTCGGCCGCACTCACCGACGCCTTGAAGCTGCTCCGGCGTAACTCCGCCTGTTCGCTCGGCCGCAGCGACATCTCGGATGGCGCGCGCTCCGATGTTCTCTCGTCTCGTCGGAAACAACCTAAGCGCGCGGCGATTGAAGCGGCGGCTTGGGATGGAAACAAAGACTACAAGAGGAGGCGTTGGCGGTCGGGTGGGTCGTCGGGTGTCGCATTTATATCATGTACGAACATGGGATCTGAGAACTAGACTTCCATGTGGACCAGCTCTACCAAGTCGGTAGGTGCTGACGTGCCGTGGAGCCGTAGAGGAAGGAAGCAGCGAAGACCAACCCCAGACCAAAAAGTTGCTTGCGAGTTGCGTCGGGGCTATCGATTCATTGGCCCTGGATACTCTAGCACAGCTAGAGGTTAGAGTTAGTTTCTAGTTTAGGACTAGTCCTGAACTAATTCTAGCCTAAGAGATGTTTGGATACAAGGGTTAAAATGATAATAAATATGCTTTCCAAATCATTGGTGCGGGTGAAAGTAGAGAGAAAACAGTGGACCTCACCTCAAATAGCCCCAACTAGCCCAAATAATCACCTCTTTGGGGGGATAGTTTTTTAGATGGGCTAGTTGCAAATAACCCACTCTAGCCCTCCTGTTTGGCTACTTTAGGGCTAGTTGAGCTCCAACTAGCCCAAACTAGCTCTAACCCATGAATCCAAACAGGGCCATTGTCCTTCCAAATCTAAAGTCCCGTTTCGATCCGATAATTTCCTTTGGGTAGTGTTTGGAAACTTTGGATTATAGGACTTGCTAGTTCTAATCCGGAGCGTCAGTATCGGACGGTGCCGCATGCATAAGAGAAATGGAGCCTACGCCACCTGTTTTTCGCGCGCCTCACCGCGTGGACTCCACGCCTGTGCTCGGTTTCTCATGCACCCATCTTCATCCGCTCAACGCCCCCAGCAATGGGCCCGTGCCGCCCGGACGTCACCCAGCAGCTGTAGCAGGTGGCTGCGGCGGATGGGTCCCATTGCAACATGTGCAATATCATATCTACTTTTGCAACACCGAGATGAAAAACTTGTCACATACATCTGAAAACAGCTGAAACACTTGCAAGGTACGTCTGAAAACACTTGCAAAACACCTAGAAAGCACTTGAAAGCTAGTGCAAGCATATACAACATCCACATGAAACACCGGAAACACTTGAAATATACGCTTGCAACATGCATGTATATACAACATCCGGATCTACTTTGCAACATCCAGATGAAACATTTGCAACGTACCGTCTAAAACAGATGAAATATTTAGAACATACACTTGAAACATACGTGTATAGCCATTACAACACCCCGATCTACTTTTGTAACATCCCGATCTACTTTTGTAATATCGATATAAAACACTTGCAACATACCTCTGAAATACCTGAAACACTTGAAACATATGTTTGTAACATGCTATTTCAGCGTAAACATCTCCTTGCTGTTTCGGCGAATGAAGGCTCGTCGGCGCGTGGAGGTCACTGGTGTGGTCACCTCAACGTGGAGCTGGGCGGCGACGCACTGAGGGCGGGTTGGGGGTGGCACGGGCGGCGGTGGCCCAAAGGGCAGGTGGGTGGCGCGTGGAGGTCACTGATGTGCTCGCCGGTGGCACGGAGCTGGGTGGCGATGCACAGAGGGCAGGGTGGGTGGCGATGGCACAGAGGACGGGAGGCGTGGCAGCGGTGGCGCAGAGGGTGGGTGAAGCGTCCGAACGATCGGACGCCCTGAACTCAGCATTTTCGTTGGACTATTCTATACATGTAAATGAATTACAGTTGAAACTTTTGTGCACAAGAAAACAGAAGTATTTTACTCCCCTGTAACATGTTTTTTGGGTAAGGGGGAAAACAGTGCGCAATTTAACCGGGAACCAAGCTATGAGCAGAAAAATCCTTAACTACCGCATCACATCAAGCATCAAATTAGAGCTAAAAACTAATTAGATTTCATACCACAGAACATGAAGTTTTACAACAAAGCGGCAAAGTTGAGATGAGGTCATTAGATTGGACCACAAGAGGGGAAAAGGAGTTGGCTAGAGGCACACATCGCCATTCACGAGCTTATGGAGTGACCTCTGAGAGCCATTGACGAGAATAGAGAACTCCATATCTGAATACTCAGGACGTCGTGAACAGAATCACCTCTTCTCAGCTATGCTCCACCTCCTGCTGCTCTCCTCGTCGCTGGTTGCCTCCCGAGCTGCTCCACGTGGATGGGTCCTTCCCACGGGCCGCAGCAGTGCCGACGAGGATAAGGCGAAGGCCGGTACTTGCCATAGAGGCGGCAGCGCACGCGGCGAGGGGATGACGCAAGAGTCGTGAGGTGCGACCGCCCCTTGAGCAGATGGGAGAACGCCTCCGGCCTCCCGATAAGCGTCGGAAAAATAATGGAATGTCTAGACACGATTTTATTTTTCCGGGCATATAGGACCAAACCGCCGGTTAAAAAAAATAGTCTTACCAACCATCCAAGCAAAGTGTCTGTGGTTTTGAACCAAAAACCATGCTTCCAAACAAGATGCTTTTTTTATATAATTTGTTTCAAGAACCGTTTAGTAGACATGAACATGTGCTATCCTAATGTTTATAGTAGATATATAAACACGTGATATCCTATTTTTTGTGGTTGCATCGAATCATTTCAAGAAGACAAAAAAAAAAAGATACGCTTGCTATACACACGCACAAGTCTACAAAATATGTGACCATCCAAATACTCCTTCACATGAATCGTTGTACAAATCATTGCACACGGTTCCTTTGACAAAGATCAGCTATAGCTTGCCAAGAGGCAGAAGTAATTAGACTAAATTACAATTCCTATGAACTACTGATGAGTGATGATACATGTAGACACTCAAGATGGCAAAACAAAAACCTGCATCATTTACAGGACAGATGCTTAGTTTAAGCCATTGAAAGCAGATGTTGTACATTGCAACGAATGATATGTTATGACGTCTTCCTCATCTCCTCTGGAAATTGAACTTCATGATTGCAAAGCTGAACATAAATGCAAAGGCCATAGTGAACACGATATGCACCAATGCAACAACCCATAACAGGTCACGATGGAAGCCATAGTACTCTGTAACGAACTGTGCTGCAGTTTGGTCTCTGCCATCAATATTGGTTTGGATATCACCATATTGGGAGGCAACCAATCCATATAATGTCCATGCGACTGGGCAAATCCAAAAACCAGCTCCACCAAACAGGAATTTTCTGACAAAATAAGGGTTTTGAATGTGCAAGGTATAACAAAAAAACGACATGTTTAAATTCCGAAACCAACAAGTAATGACAATAAAAATGACATACGATGGGAGAGTAACAGGTCGAGGGATGAGATACCCTGAAAAAGAGGTTCCATGCATTGTAGATTGTGGATGACACGACAGATGCTACAGTCTCGTTAGGTGTCAATCCTGTTGCCATCATTCCGTGGAATGTGAAATACAAGAGTGTGAAGTACATGAAGAACAAGTACCAAAAGAACTTGGCAGCAACCCACTCAAATCCTATCATTGAATAGACTAGTGTGCTGTATATCAAAGTCTGGACCAGGATGTATTTTTTTCTCGAATACGCAAAAAGTTTGCCCATCTTTGTATTAAGATCGAGAAATAGTGAAAGTTACAACGACGCGCCATGGATATGGCACACTAGAGGGAATAGTGTTATACAATCGGCTCTATCCTCCTAGCATAAGAAGATCATGGGCTATTACTTGCTAATCAAACTACCTAGCCAACATCGCCAGTCGGACGCGCTTGCTAGCGCGGCGCCTGGGTCGCTCTCCTTGTGGGTCCAGGAAGAGCTGTCGCATTGCCTCCGCATGCGAGGGGTTGAGCTGGTCGATGAAGATACTGTCGTAGGCGTCTGTGGCTGTCGTGGATGACCTCGTCTGTCTGTCGAGAAATCACATCTGCTTCATCACCAGCACCTCTCCCCGCTTAGAACCCGGGACACGTGAGAGCGCCTGAGCGGTGATCCTCCTGCTACGAGTTGGCAACTGAACCAGGATGTACGGAAATTCAAATGCAACCTAAAAAAGACAAGGCAGCGTTGTTAGCTTCAGACTTTAGAGGCCAAAGCAATTTGACGATATTGGTCCCGTTCGCGTGCCCTTAAACTCGGCTTGATCCGCTTATTTTTTTTTATCCGGAACAGTGTTTTTCTCTCACAAATTCATCCAACATTCCTCCAAACCATCCAGATTCCTCCATAATTCAGACAAGCGAACAGGCCCATTATGGATATATGAATAGTAGATTAGTAGCAGGTGCACATATGCAGTTTTGATAGGCCCTAACTCGGAGTTAGATTCTGTGCATTATTTATAGTCATATATCCTTGTTGGAATTCTCCATCTTGGACACTAGCACATAGATTTAGATCGGTGTTGCATCCTTCATCTTCTTTGATAAGGTGTTTCATCTTCGTCTTCTTTGATTGGCACTGAGTTGGGATCAATTTACATGTCTACTTTTTTTTAGTGTTTGAATGATTTGTTAATTTCGGATTAAGGGTCGTTGGCCTCTTCTTATAGGAATGGAGGATGGGCTCTAGTATTTGGGAGGAAAAAAAAAGGATATGGATGGCGGTAGGTGAACCAAGCGGAAAGAATGACACTTCAAATTTTTTTTTTGTTTTCAGCTCCCTTTTGCAATTTATTGTAAAGTGTTTTTGATGTCACTTGATATAGGCATGCACCAGGCAGTACTGGTGGGTAGAGATGATTGACGGGAGGTAAAAAGAATTCTTTATACTTGACATTTTCTTTGTACAAGGAAACAAAGAGCACATATATATTTTTAATCACAATATGGATGGAGATACTCATATATACATGTATACGCACCCCTATGAATGATTCTAGTCCTATGAGTACACCCTTTAATCATACGAAATACAAACGTGTATATGCGGGATTTCAATAGGTCAGGAAATCAAGTCAGGGATACATACTAATATTATACTCTTCTTTAATTTGTCTTAGAATCACTAGAATTGAGTGTATTACAGATGG